GTGTCCCTCTGACCTCCATCCTTGTGTCCCTCTGACCTCCATCCTTGTGTCCCTCTGACCTCCATCCTTGTGTCCCTCTGACCTCCATCCTTGTGTCCCTCTGACCTCCATCCTTGTGTCCCTCTGACCTCCATCCTTGTGTCCCTCTGACCTCCATCCTTGTGTCCCTCTGACCTCCATCCTTGTGTCCCGGTTGCTGATGTAGTAGAATAATAGGACTGGTGCCCCCGCTAGCTTGTCACCCCTGAGGGAATCATGTTTTCTTGCCGGTTTCCTGACGTGTGGATAGAATAACACAACATGCATTCCTGGCCCTGAGAACTCCTTTCTCTAGAACATTGGGGGAAAGGTCTCACATCCTTCTAGTGAGGAGACGTGGAAGAAATGACGGATCTCCATTGTGTTCCGGGAGAATTACCGTCAGCCCGGGACCAGTAAGACTTCCATGCCAGCGGTCACCATACTATGACACAGCGGTGGCGTTGGCGGTTACAGGCCCGGAGGAAGGGGGTGCATTGCTAGGGTGGTTACCCTGCGTAGTGCCGGCCGGGAGTCAGGATAGAGGCTTCTATACCCTGTTTCCCCGATAATAAGACCTAGTTGTGACCTTTCCCGGGGCCGGTGGCGGCATAAGGGGGGAACTTGAAGAGCCGCGGGAGAGAATCAGCGGTGCCAACGAAGCCGGCGCTAGAGGAAGCGAGGCGGCAGCAGAGCCGCACAAGCCGATGCCTCCTCCTGTCACAGGCGGAGTCATACCAAACTCACTCCGCCGGTGAGGAATACTAGTGAAAGCGCGATTGGTTACCAAATTGGTTGCCAAAATTGCTCTTGGAAAGGTACGGCGCCCTGATTGCCCCGATCACCCGATTCCTAACTTTGCCATTTTGGATTATTTAATTTGGATTGTTGTACATTAAAAAAAAAAAGACCTCCCCCGAAAATAAGACCCAGTGTGTGTTTTTTTGAGTCTTATTTTCTGAGAAACACGGTACTATCTTGTAGATTGTAAGCTCTCCGGGGCAGGGCCCTCCTCACCGTCTTGTCTTGTGACTGTAATGTCTTCCTTATATTGTACAGCGCTGCGCACACTGCTGGCGCTATATAACTCCCGTATAATAATAATACTGTGATCATGGACCCTTCAGTAACACATTTCTACAAACTGACCCAAACCTCCATAATGCAATAATGAGACTGTATTCCGTCCCAGGGTGATCTTCCGTATACACACTGTGACTACACCTTATTCTTCATGATACAATGGAGCAGCTCAGTGCCACCAGGATATCGTCACACCTAATAATCATCATACATGTTACAGATAATACGCGGGCCTTGTCTTTCACATACATGTCTATTGAGTTTGCCGTCTCTAACCTGCTGCCCATTATACGTAGTTCTAACTACTTTCCCAGCTGTATGCTGACCCCCATCCCCCTCCCCGGCCATCATTACACTGCCCCCCTCCTATCACATACAACAAGACCACCTAAAACATCATGGGTCCACCCCACAGCCATTACACTGCCCCCCTCCTATCACATACAACAAGACCACCTAAAACATCATGGGTCCACCCCACAGCCATTACACTGCTAGCAACCAAACGTCAAAGGGTCTTCAGTAGCCCACCGAAGAGCCCAGCAGTCCCCAGAGCTGCTGATGGAGTCCCGAGAGCCAGGGGGGGGTCACCCGGTCCTCTGTGACATGATATAAACAAAGAGCTCCATTCACAGCGCCATGGGACCCCTTTACAGCATCCTCTGTAACCCTTTCCGGGGTCACATGTCGTCATCTCTCCCATAATAGTATAAATTGCAGGACAACTACTCTACATAAAGAAACACATTAGTTAATGTTGTCCGTCCCTGGTGGGGAGTATGTGACAGTATATGATGGACCGGTTAACCCTTACCTTGCCTCCAGACTCCATGATGTCCCGCGTCTCTTATGGTCCAGTAATGAGTGTAGATGTGACGTCAGTAATCCTGATATTTTGTATCCAAGCTATTTCCTCTCTATGTCTGCGCTGCGGACGTCTCACGCGGTTTTATACTGAAGGGGTGTGAGCTCCCCTTACAGCTCTCATTGGCTGTGATCTCAGACAACCCGCTCCTCGCTCATTAGCATATTCCCTTCACACTGTGCATGGACTGTACATTCAGCTGGAAGAAGGCAGCATTCAGTGCATGAGACGTGACTGTTGGGGGACTGAGGAAGGTGTGTGGTCAAGGGATATGACGCCATCTATCTACGGACTATGAACAATCATTCTGTGTGTGTGAGGGAATATACTCATTTACACAACATTCGGGTTGTCACAGCATTCACTGTACTATTAGATGTCTGTCCATGGAAACAACTGACCTCCGTCCTCCCCTTCAGTCTTCTATCTGACCTCTGTCTTCCCCTCAGTCTTCTATCTGACCTCCGTCCTCCCCTTCAGTCTTCTATCTGACCTCCGTCCTCCCCTCAGTCTTCTATCTGACCTCCGTCCTCCCATGGACAGGATGATAGAACCCATGGACAGAATGATAGAACCCATGGACAGGATGATAGAACCCATGGACAGGATGATAGAACCCATGGACAGGATGATAGGACCCAAGAACAGAATGATAGAACCCATGTCAGGATGATAGAACCCATGGGCAGGATGATAGAACCCATGGACAGAATGATAGAACCCATGGACAGGATGATAGAACCCATGGACAGGATGATAGGACCCATGTCAGGATCATAGAACCCATGGACAGAATGATAGAACCCATGTCAGGATGATAGAACCCATGGACAGGGTGATAGAACCCAAGGACAGGATGATAGGACCCATGTCAGGATGATAGAACCCATGGACAGGATGATAGGACCCATGGACAGGATGATAGGACCCATGGACAGGATGATAGGACCCATGGACAGGATGATAGGACCCATGGACAGGATGATAGGACCCATGGACAGGATGATAGGACCCATGGACAGGATGATAGGACCCATGGACAGGATGATAGGACCCATGGACAGGATGATAGGACCCATGGACAGGATGATAGGACCCATGGACAGGATGATAGGACCCATGGACAGGATGATAGGACCCATGGACAGGATGATAGGACCCATGGACAGGATGATAGGACCCATGGACAGGATGATAGGACCCATGGACAGGATGATAGGACCCATGGACAGGATGATAGGACCCATGGACAGGATGATAGGACCCATGGACAGGATGATAGGACCCATGGACAGGATGATAGGACCCATGGACAGGATGATAGGACCCATGGACAGGATGATAGGACCCATGGACAGGATGATAGGACCCATGGACAGGATGATAGGACCCATGGACAGGATGATAGGACCCATGGACAGGATGATAGGACCCATGGACAGGATGATAGGACCCATGGACAGGATGATAGGACCCATGGACAGGATGATAGGACCCATGGACAGGATGATAGGACCCATGGACAGGATGATAGGACCCATGGACAGGATGATAGGACCCATGGACAGGATGATAGGACCCATGGACAGGATGATAGGACCCATGGACAGGATGATAGGACCCATGGACAGGATGATAGGACCCATGGACAGGATGATAGGACCCATGGACAGGATGATAGGACCCATGGACAGGATGATAGGACCCATGGACAGGATGATAGGACCCATGGACAGGATGATAGGACCCATGGACAGGATGATAGGACCCATGGACAGGATGATAGGACCCATGGACAGGATGATAGGACCCATGGACAGGATGATAGGACCCATGGACAGGATGATAGGACCCATGGACAGGATGATAGGACCCATGGACAGGATGATAGGACCCATGGACAGGATGATAGGACCCATGGACAGGATGATAGGACCCATGGACAGGATGATAGGACCCATGGACAGGATGATAGGACCCATGGACAGGATGATAGGACCCATGGACAGGATGATAGGACCCATGGACAGGATGATAGGACCCATGGACAGGATGATAGGACCCATGGACAGGATGATAGGACCCATGGACAGGATGATAGGACCCATGGACAGGATGATAGGACCCATGGACAGGATGATAGGACCCATGGACAGGATGATAGGACCCATGGACAGGATGATAGGACCCATGGACAGGATGATAGGACCCATGGACAGGATGATAGGACCCATGGACAGGATGATAGGACCCATGGACAGGATGATAGGACCCATGGACAGGATGATAGGACCCATGGACAGGATGATAGGACCCATGGACAGGATGATAGGACCCATGGACAGGATGATAGGACCCATGGACAGGATGATAGGACCCATGGACAGGATGATAGGACCCATGGACAGGATGATAGGACCCATGGACAGGATGATAGAACCCATGGAGAGAATGATACAACACAGACATCTGCATGTTCTTTGCGGTACCGTGTGTATCGGGGAAGGTGTTTATACAATCATGCCACATCTGGTAATAGCACATTTGTGTGACTATGGTCAGTCTGCTCCTGTCAGCGTGTGCTGTGTGGTTAGTAAATTCCTCCAGCCTGGCGTGACTCTGAATCCACATTGGTGGAAAAGCCGTGTGCCGTAGTACTACCGGGGTATAAATATAGTATGAGGTCCCATGGAAGCAAGCGCCGCTCTGCAACCTCTAACTTGTATCTACCGGCAGGGGGTGACACCTAACATGGGATCCCCCATCTCTCTGCAAACATCACACGAGACACACTCCATGTTCTTCAACATATAAATCATTGTATTATTAATCACACGATGGTTTATACCTAGCCAGGCCTTTTACTGACGCGTTTCACCCAAATCTGGAACATTCCTTATCTTTTTGAAGGAGACACCTACAGCAGCCAACCAAATTCTTCTTTTCATGTGAGTGAATGAGAGGAGGAATCTTATTGGCTGTTGTGGTTCCTCCAGACAGCCGGCCTCTCTGTATTTCCGGTCTGACCGGATTACGGCCCTTGACTCGCTGGACAAGTGTGATGTATAATGTGTGTGTGCGGATTCATGACACGGATGTCTGATGTGCACGGCACGCATCTTACTGCCAATCTGTAACCAGGAAACCAGCTCTTGAGGCAGCAGATCACTATTTACATAAAGGGCCACGTGGCCGCCATGCCTGACACACACACATGACACATATTTGTCATACAATACAAGCGCTTTCCGGGCCTCACAGGGTCCCCTTCATCAGGCTCAGAATCAGCGGCGTCACTAGAAATCACAGGGCCCCATAGCAGAATTTTGTATGGGGCCCCGTGATTGCTAGTTATGCCCCTTGCAGAGCCCACCTCATATACCAAACAGCCCACCTGAGAGTGACCCTGCAGAGCCCACCTGAGAGTGACCCTGCAGAGCCCACCTGAGAGTGACCCTGCAGAGCCCACCTGAGAGTGACCCTGCAGAGCCCACCATAGACTCTCTATGGTGGGCTCTGCGGGGTCTCAGATGGGCTGCACACCTCTTACCTGTCAGCGCTGTCCACCTCCGTGGTCGCCGGGCCCCGCCTTCTCTTACATCACTGGCCCCGCCTGCTCTTACGTCGCTGGCCAGTGATGTAAGAGGAAGGCGGGGTTGCTCTTAGGCAGGCACCGCCTCCTCCTTCACTGCGAATGCCGGCCTCTTCTGCCGGCTGTCACTGACACAGCGATTATGAGGGGGAAACGCCGCTGCTGAGCTGTGTCAGTGACAGCCAGCACCCTTACATGCCATAGCGACCCAGGCGGCCCACACGGCATCAGAGGGATGCCCTGGCTGGGGCCCCCCTGTGCCCGGGCCCCATAGCGGTCGCTTACGCCACTGCTCAGAATGACAAAGTATGGCACAGACGACACCACTTGTACAGACATAACGCCTGAGAACAGAAGAACCTCCCGTCCCTGTGATTGCTTTCCCGCAATAATAGATTCAAAAAACACTTACAGTGATGGAGAAGGCGCGCACCGCTGTCACGGCCGTTAAGCTATCCAAACAGCAGTTTGTCGTCATGCCAACATAATGCTATAGCTAAGCTCCGCCCCCACCACCGGCACTTCCGCCTAATGTGGAAAGCAAGCCGCTTCAGTTGGTTGCGATTGCTGGAATGTGAAACTCCGGCCGATCAGTGCATGCGCCGAACGGACCGGAGGAATGACAGCTGTCATAGCGGCTCGAGAGGACCACGCGGATCAGAAGCAATTCCTCCAACAAATGGAACCAGGGCCGGTGCTAGGTTTCCTGCCTACACAGGCAAGGTGCATTTTTGCGCCTCCGACCGTACTTGTCAAAACAGATGTTTGCGCTATGTTTTTTGTTTTTTTTTCACTTACCTTCGGCGCGGGAGAGCAGCGGCGAGTCAGCGCTGATCCGGTGGGAGGAGCTCCAGGTGGGGGTCCTAATTTAGCTGGCCGGCGACTGCCTGAGGTGCCGGGCGTGTCGGGATCCTCAGGCAGTCGCCGGCCAGCTAAATTAGGACCACACCTGGAGCTCCTCCCCCTGGACCAGCGCTGACTCGCCGCTGCTCTCCCGCACCGAAGGTAAGTGAAAAAAAAAACATAGCGCAAACATCGGGGCATTTTGGCAAGTACTTGTCAAAATGCCCTGTTTTTTCCGCCCTCACCCTGCAGCGCCGTAAGGCGGCCACCTGACTTGCCTTGCGGTAGCGCCGGGCCTGAATAGGAACAATACAATCCTAGTGGTAAAGATAACGGATAAATAACATGGAGCAATCACAGGAGGTTCTTCTGTTCTCAGGCGTTATGTCTATACAAGTGGTGTTGTCTGTGCCATGCTTTGTCATTCTGAGCCTGATGAAGGGGACCCACCATAAAGCGCTTGTATTGTATGACAAATATGTGTCAATAAAGCTATCCCTTCTTCACCTTTATATTGGAGTGCTGGTGACGTTCTTGGACTTCATGTTATTACACGGTGCCATCGGTGGTCATGGCGAGCGCCCACCTGGATCAGACGGGTTTCCATTTTC